GCGAACTGATGCAACGTGCTCCCTTGTGGCCACGCTGGGGGAAGTGTGAGCCCAGCGGGTACCCGGTGACATGCTGCAACATCCGTGTCGTTGGGACCCGGCTCCCGTGGAAGGAAAGAGGGGCCCTTAGTGGTTTTATCGCCTTTCCTGCTGGGTGCTGGGCACCCTCTCTCCTTTTCCAGGAGAAGGAGGCTGCAGAGCACATCAGGGTGTGAGTGGGGCAAGGGAGGGTGCACATGTCTGTGCTGCCATGCACCAGCCATCAAGCCTGTTCAGCTGGTGCCAGCTCACAGCCAGTGCCACCAACGCCTGGTTCCCAGCAAACCCAGCCCTGGAGTAGTTGCAGGTGGGGACAAGATCCTTGCCCATCCCAGGAAAGCAGCTGCTGCCCGGGTCACAAATGCAGCAGAGGCTGGGAATGGCTCTGGCTCCTCCTGATGCATCCAATCGACCTTGAGGAGCTGGGGGTGTTCACACACGTGTGGCTGCTGGAGGTGGTGGCACATGGCAGGGCAAACAGCTTGATGGCGGGGGGCATGCCCTGGGCAAGGGGGTGGCAGCGGCTCCTCGGACACCCGCCCCCGGGGAGGGGGAGCTCAGGGGTCCCCGCTGTACTTGATGAGGTGGCCGCTGAAGGTGATGTAGGTGTCGTACTCATCGCTGAAGACGGCGTTTTCACGCTCGCCCTTGTAGAGTCGCACCCAGACCTCGTCCTGCTCCTGCAGCTCCAGCATCACGCTCTGGCTCTGCATGATGCTGCGGTCGCTCACCTGGGCGTAGAGGATCACCACCTCCGCCCCGTTACGCATGATGTGCAGGTACGTCTCCTTCTGGTTCCAGGTGTGCACGTTGAGGCTGAAGTAGTAGATCCCGGGGACGTAGCAGTAGAACTTGCCCGTGAACATGTTGAAGTGGTCGTAGAGGTTGACGAACTCCGTGTCGAAGATGAGGGGCTGGTAGTAGTCGTTGCTGTGCAGGGGTTTCTTGCGGCCCACCGAGAAGGCGGCGTAGTGGCTCTTGCAGCGCTCCCCCGGGGCGCCCACGCTGCCCTTCTGGCCCTTGGGACCCGCGTGGCCCCTGCTGCCGGCCACCCCTGTCTTGCCGTACTTGCCCTGCATGCCTCGCTCGCCGCGGTCCCCCTTTTCTCCTGGGCAAAGCAAGAGGCCGGTTCCACGATCAGAAGTGGGTGCCATCTCTAAACCCGTTGCCCTGGAAGCCCCTTGACTCAACAGAAAGGGATGGAGAGAGCAGGGATGCCCCCTCCCTGGGCTCTGCTGCTGCTGCCTGCAAAGAGGCCACCAGAGCAGGGTACCCGGTGGCCCGGTGTGTCCCCTGCCCACCCTCCCTCTGCCTGTGCAGGGCACTGGACCACAGGCACCAGCCCCAGCTTCTCGCTCCCAGTTTGTGTGACACTGGGAGCACAGAGAGCCAGCAGCGCGGGGTCCCACCGGTCCTCACCTTTCAGGATGGTCATGTTGATCTGGGGCAGGGGCTGGTACCGGGGGTAGGAGAAGTGCTGGTCGGGCGGCTCACAGCAGCGGACGCAGCGGGGCCGGGGGGGCAGCCCCTCCTGGGCACCGTCGGGCTTCTGCTCCCGCGTGGCACTGGGGAGGGCAAAAAAGCAAAGCGCAACAGGGAGCTACGGGTGGGGGCCGGGGCCCTTTGCAGTGCCAGGGCTGCCCCGGCCCCCACTGTGAAACACCCCGGCCCCGGGGTCCCCTCACCTGGCTGCGTGGTGATGGGATGGTGCCTCCTCGGGGTCTGTCACCAAACGCTGGTCAGGGTTGGGGCTGGGGCTGGTCTGGGTGCCCGCGGGTGAGGGCAGCAGGAGGCAGGACAGCAGCAGGACACCCAGTGCCCGAAGCCCCTCCATGCTGCAGCAGGGCCCTGCGAGATGCCAGGGATGGCTGAGGGGGACGGTGAGGGTTGGCAGAGCCAGGAGCGGCAGAGACGCCCTGCCAGCCTGGCTGTCCCCCACGCTGTCCCCCAGACAGGACCAGGCAGCCCCACAGCTGTGCTGCCAGCCCCAAAAAAGCTGCTCTTGCAACAGCCCTTCCCCAGCAGAGCTGGCAGCGTGGGCACAGGCATCTCTGCAGGGACCATCTGTACCTAAATAGCTGCTTTTCTAGCTCAGCCATGTGTCTCGGTGACACTGCAGTGAATACCTGGGGATACCCATGTTTGGAGCACTGCCAGGGCTCCGGGCTCACCAGCAAGCCCCCTGGTACACGTGGAAGGAGGGGGGGATACCCTGGGGAGCCGAGAGGGGAGTGGAGCAGCAGTGTCCTGCTGCCTGTCCAAGCCCAGCTCCAGCTGCCACCCATGGATGCCCAAGAGCGGCAGCTCGGGGTGTCAGCACCTGGGGAAATCACAGGCTGCTCCAAATGCCGTGGAGCAAATGTCAGGGTGCAGCTCTGCCTGTTGTGGGGACCCCCCAACCCTGCCTGGGGCATGGGTCTGCATCCCTCTTCCTGCCCCCGAGCGTGCAAGGGTGCCTGCAGCACAGACCCTGTGAAAGGGGCTCCTGTGCCCCAAGGATGGGTCTACATGTCCCGGGATGGGCTCTGTGTTCTGGGGCGGGATGTGTGTCCCGGGATAGGGACATGTGTCCCATGGATGGGAATGTTCTGAGATGGGCTGTGTGTCCTGGGATGGGCTCTGTGTCCCAGGATGGGGACGTGTGTCCCATGGATGGGACATGTCCCCAGATGGGCTCTGTGTCCTGGGACAGGGGCCAATAGTCCCTGGATGCACCGTGTGTCCCGGGATGGGACCATGTGTCCCAGTATAGGGATGTATATCCCAGGATAGGACATGTCCTGAGATGGGCTCTGTGTCCTAGGACAGGGGCCACATGTCTCAGGATGCACCATGTATCCTGGGACAGAGCCACATTACCCAGGATGGGACATGTCCTGAGATGGGCTGCGTGTCCTGGGATGGGTCTACATGTCCTGGGATGGACTGTGTGTCCTGAGATGGGACATGTCCCAAGATGTGACGTGTTCCAGGACAGGACATTTGTCCCAGGATGGGTCCTGCTGTGCAGACTGGTGGCTGGTGGCCACCCCACAGCAGGCAGTCGTCCCCTCGTGCCACGTGCCAGCAGAACCAGCAGCCCCAGCCCTGCCTGCTGCCCGAGGGGCTGGGTGCCACCACGGGGCTTTGCCCCCACCGCGGGGTTTGGGACAGGGCCCTGGGCTGGCCATGAGCAGGGCAGCTGCCTCCACATCTCCTGCAGTGTCCCTGGGGACAGCCCCACAGGGACAGCAGCACCAGGGCCATGGAGGTACCACCAGCCCTAGACGGCCCTGACCAGCCTCAGCTGGGCCCCCACCTGTGGGGCAGGGGCTCTATTTAAGCCCAACCCTGAGCTCTCTCCCTTCTCTGCTGTGCTGGGGAGGGGGATGTTGGTCTCCAGCCCTGCCTGGCCATGGACCCACCCAGCCAGACCCTGACCCAACAGCTTCCCAGCTTGACCTCAGCCCTACCTCGTCACTTGTGGACCTGCCAGATGATCTGGACTCTTGGTAAACCCAGCCATGACCCCCAGCCTGTCCTGCTTGCTCGTTGATGGGTCTGTTATTGATCTCAGCTTCCAGCTCCCTGACCTTTAGGGAGCAGCCAGCCTTTGCAGAGCCTGGCTCAGTCTCCCTGGCTCTCCAGGGAGGGTCTGCCCTTCCCTTCCCACCACCAGCTGGGCACCATGGTGCCATCCCATTGCTCTCCAGGAGTAGGAACCTGTCCTGAGCCACCTGGAGCCTCCGCACACACGTAAAGCAAGAGGAACCACTGAAAGTGTGAGTAGTTCTCAAAGTTGTGGGGTGTTTAATATGGTGACAAGCTGTACAGAGAGTGGGGGAGGGGACAGCACACTGCCCCCGGGCCCCGCTCTGCTAGTGCTTCTACAAAAATACAAAGCCTGGCCAGCAGATAATCTAACTGAGGAGGAAGTGGCTGAGGCCGAAGGCCCCGTGCCCAGGGCTGCCAGCAGGGAGCCAGCCCCTCCTCGGCAGCGTTGGCACCGAGCAGGGGCTGTGGTGGGGATAACGGTGACGGGGACTTGTGGCGGGGGGGGGGAACTGATGCAACGTGCTCCCTTGTGGCCACGCTGGGGGAAGTGTGAGCCCAGCGGGTACCCGGTGACATGCTGCAACATCCGTGTCGTTGGGACCCGGCTCCCGTGGAAGGAAAGAGGGGCCCTTAGTGGTTTTATCGCCTTTCCTGCTGGGTGCTGGGCACCCTCTCTCCTTTTCCAGGAGAAGGAGGCTGCAGAGCACATCAGGGTGTGAGTGGGGCAAGGGAGGGTGCACATGTCTGTGCTGCCATGCACCAGCCATCAAGCCTGTTCAGCTGGTGCCAGCTCACAGCCAGTGCCACCAACGCCTGGTTCCCAGCAAACCCAGCCCTGGAGTAGTTGCAGGTGGGGACAAGATCCTTGCCCATCCCAGGAAAGCAGCTGCTGCCCGGGTCACAAATGCAGCAGAGGCTGGGAATGGCTCTGGCTCCTCCTGATGCATCCAATCGACCTTGAGGAGCTGGGGGTGTTCACACACGTGTGGCTGCTGGAGGTGGTGGCACATGGCAGGGCAAACAGCTTGATGGCGGGGGGCATGCCCTGGGCAAGGGGGTGGCAGCGGCTCCTCGGACACCCGCCCCCGGGGAGGGGGAGCTCAGGGGTCCCCGCTGTACTTGATGAGGTGGCCGCTGAAGGTGATGTAGGTGTCGTACTCATCGCTGAAGACGGCGTTTTCACGCTCGCCCTTGTAGAGTCGCACCCAGACCTCGTCCTGCTCCTGCAGCTCCAGCATCACGCTCTGGCTCTGCATGATGCTGCGGTCGCTCACCTGGGCGTAGAGGATCACCACCTCCGCCCCGTTACGCATGATGTGCAGGTACGTCTCCTTCTGGTTCCAGGTGTGCACGTTGAGGCTGAAGTAGTAGATCCCGGGGACGTAGCAGTAGAACTTGCCCGTGAACATGTTGAAGTGGTCGTAGAGGTTGACGAACTCCGTGTCGAAGATGAGGGGCTGGTAGTAGTCGTTGCTGTGCAGGGGTTTCTTGCGGCCCACCGAGAAGGCGGCGTAGTGGCTCTTGCAGCGCTCCCCCGGGGCGCCCACGCTGCCCTTCTGGCCCTTGGGACCCGCGTGGCCCCTGCTGCCGGCCACCCCTGTCTTGCCGTACTTGCCCTGCATGCCTCGCTCGCCGCGGTCCCCCTTTTCTCCTGGGCAAAGCAAGAGGCCGGTTGCACGATCAGAAGTGGGTGCCATCTCTAAACCCGTTGCCCTGGAAGCCCCTTGACTCAACAGAAAGGGATGGAGAGAGCAGGGATGCCCCCTCCCTGGGCTCTGCTGCTGCTGCCTGCAAAGAGGCCACCAGAGCAGGGTACCCGGTGGCCCGGTGTGTCCCCTGCCCACCCTCCCTCTGCCTGTGCAGGGCACTGGACCACAGGCACCAGCCCCAGCTTCTCGCTCCCAGTTTGTGTGACACTGGGAGCACAGAGAGCCAGCAGCGCGGGGTCCCACCGGTCCTCACCTTTCAGGATGGTCATGTTGATCTGGGGCAGGGGCTGGTACCGGGGGTAGGAGAAGTGCTGGTCGGGCGGCTCACAGCAGCGGACGCAGCGGGGCCGGGGGGGCAGCCCCTCCTGGGCACCGTCGGGCTTCTGCTCCCGCGTGGCACTGGGGAGGGCAAAAAAGCAAAGCGCAACAGGGAGCTACGGGTGGGGGCCGGGGCCCTTTGCGGTGCCAGGGCTGCCCCGGCCCCCACTGTGAAACACCCCGGCCCCGGGGTCCCCTCACCTGGCTGCGTGGTGATGGGATGGTGCCTCCTCGGGGTCTGTCACCAAACGCTGGTCAGGGTTGGGGCTGGGGCTGGTCTGGGTGCCCGCGGGTGAGGGCAGCAGGAGGCAGGACAGCAGCAGGACACCCAGTGCCCGAAGCCCCTCCATGCTGTGGCAGGGCCCTGCGAGATGCCAGGGATGGCTGAGGGGGACGGTGAGGGTTGGCAGAGCCAGGAGCGGCAGAGACGCCCTGCCAGCCTGGCTGTCCCCCACGCTGTCCCCCAGACAGGACCAGGCAGCCCCACAGCTGTGCTGCCAGCCCCAAAAAAGCTGCTCTTGCAACAGCCCTTCCCCAGCAGAGCTGGCAGCGTGGGCACAGGCATCTCTGCAGGGACCATCTGTACCTAAATAGCTGCTTTTCTAGCTCAGCCATGTGTCTCGGTGACACTGCAGTGAATACCTGGGGATACCCATGTTTGGAGCACTGCCAGGGCTCCGGGCTCACCAGCAAGCCCCCTGGTACACGTGGAAGGAGGGGGGGATACCCTGGGGAGCCGAGAGGGGAGTGGAGCAGCAGTGTCCTGCTGCCTGTCCAAGCCCAGCTCCAGCTGCCACCCATGGATGCCCAAGAGCGGCAGCTCGGGGTGTCAGCACCTGGGGAAATCACAGGCTGCTCCAAATGCCGTGGAGCAAATGTCAGGGTGCAGCTCTGCCTGTTGTGGGGACCCCCCAACCCTGCCTGGGGCATGGGTCTGCATCCCTCTTCCTGCCCCCGAGCGTGCAAGGGTGCCTGCAGCACAGACCCTGTGAAAGGGGCTCCTGTGCCCCAGAAGATGCCAGCCCTCGGCCCCGATCCCGTGTCTGAGCCCTCGTCTGAGGGCTTGCAAGGAGACAAGACCAGCTTCTCCAGCTGGGAGCTGGCCACCACGGGGAGAAACCTTTCTGGGAGCCCACATCCTGCTTGGGGCCAAAGTTAATATTTGCAGTGGCCGGTGGCACCGTGGCCCAACCTGGGCAGCTCCGTTGCCCTTCCCTGCGTTATCACAGCCGGATCCGTGGGGCTGGGCACGCAGCACCTCACCCTGCGGCCCCGAGGCGCCAGGACAGCCATGGCCAAACAGCCCCATGGCACTGCCCAGCCGCTCAGCAGGGCCAGGGCATGGCATGGGGCACGGTGTGGGGCTGTGAGAGTGGGCTGCCTGGCCCCACACCTTGCAGGGACGGGGCAGGCTGCTTGCCGTGTTCCTGCCCCCCCCCCAAAAAAGGGGTACACAGCCTCCCCCTGAGATGCTGGATTGTGCCCTGTGGGCTCTGCTGGGGTCCTGGAGCTCGTGCCCCTGGGGGCAAAGAGCCCCACACAGCACTGCCTTGTGACCTGGGAGTGGGCTGAGCCATTTTGGGACAGAATCCTGTTGTTTTGGTGAACGCCTTCTCTCTGGGTCCCCAGTCAGTGATCTCGGGGCAGGCTGTTCCCAGTGTCCCCAAGCGCTGGGACTGGTGGGATCCAGGACCGGGCGGGCTCTGGCAGTGGGTTCGGAGGGTGTTCAAGGCCAGGAGGGATGCCTGGCTCATGAGTCACGTTCGCTGGAGCCGGGAAGGGGTGGAGGGAATGGGGAAAGGCTCCAAAGGGCTTTCCCTCCGCTCACACACACCCTCTGCAAAGGGCCTGTCCCCTCATGCACTTCCCGAGTGCCCGCGTCCTCCCCCCTGCCTCTTGCTCCATTATCTCGTCCCGCTGGCACCGCCGGGCGCGGGGAGAGGCAGGGCTGTGGGCACTGCGTGCAGGCAGCCTGGCGCCGCGTCCTCCCTGGCCTGCTGCCGGCTCCGCGGGCAGGGGAGAAGCAGATCCATGGATAGAGGCAAGGAGGAGGCCATCCAGGGGCTTGTGAGAAGATACCATCCCGGGGAGCCTTGGCCCTGGCTCTCTTCCCCCTGCTTGGCCTCTGGCTGTGCCAGCCACATGCCAGTGAGCATGGCAAGCAGCCCGCTGGGGTTTTGGGAAGCCCGTGGCTTTTCCTCAGCTCTGGGACCATGAAAACAGGCATTATTCCCCCAGGATCCGGAGCAAGCTCAGCCCTGGGGAAAAGGTGGCTTCAGAGGGAACCGCTCCACGAGGAGAAGAAAGGCTTCACCAGGAAATTCCCACTGAGAAAGGCAGCGGGAGTCCCAGGGCTGGGAATGGAGACGAGTGTGTCCCTGAGTGTGTCCCCGAGTGCACGTCTGCCCCTGCACCCCAGGGCACGCCGGACGGGAGGTGCCCGTGTACACACGGGGATACACAGTCCTGCCAAAGGGACGCTGTTTTTCCTGTCAGGGCTGGATGCTCTCCAGGAGCAATGGGGAGATTGAAATTCAGTGGCTGCTAAAGCCTTGAGGCTTGCAAGTCAAAACATCCTGAAATGCATTCCAGGCGGTGATAAAGACCAGGATGAAACAAAACCAAATCCCGGGGGGGTGATGAAGGGGTTTAGAGCAGCGGGGCAGCGTGGGAGCAGCATGATCTGCACGCCCACCTTGTCCTTCCCACTCGGGGTGGTGGATACAGCCCTCCCCAAGCTGCAGCACCCGGAGCTGGGACACCTCTGGTGTCCAGGGACATGCTGGTGGGTCTGCTCCCCCCTCCCTGCTGCCTTTTGCTGCAGCAGATGGGATGGTGTCGGAGTTGTTTGTGCTCTTAGAGCAGCGCAGACCCGCGGGGGGGGGGGGGGGGGG